TCAAGTTTGAACTGAACCTAGGCGGTTTACAGGAGAGTACGAGATCACGGCTACCTGGAGTTGTACATGTACATGTGTGTGTGTGTATGTGTGTGTGTGTGTGTGTGTGTGTGTGTGTGTGTGTGTGTGTGAACGTGTGTGTGAACGTGTGTGTGTAGGTGTTTGTGTGGTGGTGTGTGTGTGTAATGTGCGTGTGTGTTCGCGCATGCGCCTTGGAGGTTTGTTAGTTGCACGATGCTTAGTGACCTCAGCCTCAATCCCGGAGACGGCATCTTGATGGCTCGACATGGCTTTGTTTCAATATTAACCGTTCAGCCCCAAATAGGTTTTGGGAGTTACAATTGGTGCGTTTTATGTCCCCATGACGTCGAGACCTCAGGTCGGCTGAGGGCAAAAAGCCTCACCATCACTATGCTACCACTATGCAATTTTTTGTCTTTGCCTGTGAGCTGCGATCATTGTAAAAAAAATAATAAAATAAAAAATTGCATGTGTAGTGTCATTCCAAGGCACTTCCTTGCTATCGCTGTGATGTCCTGCGTGCAAAAGACCATACACAAGCAAACTCTAGCGTATACTTCAGTAAACCTGGTCGTATTTAAGGCTAACACCGGGATTTATTGTACTGACTGGTCTTGTGTTAAACCCTGTATGACAGTATGACTAGTCTTATCAGGACACGTTACGACTAAACACTGTTCATAACCACTAGTCTTATCAGGTCACGTGACGACTAAACACTGTTCATAACCACTAGTCTTGATCAGGACACGTTACGACTAAACACTGTTCATAACCACTAGTCTTATCAGGACACGTTACGACTAAACACTGTTCATAACCACTAGTCTTATCAGGACACGTTACGACTAAACACTGTTCATAACCACTAGTCTTATCAGGACACGTTATGACTAAACACTGTTCATAACCACTAGTCTTATCAGGAAACGTTATGACTAAACACTGTTCATAACCACTAGTCTTATCAGGACACGTTATGACTAAACACTGTTCATAACCACTAGTCTTATCAGGTCACGTTACGACTAAACACTGTTCATAACCACTAGTCTTATCAGGTCACGTGACGACTAAACACTGTTCATAACCACTAGTCTTATCAGGACACGTGACGACTAAACACTGTTCATAACCACTAGTCTTATCAGGACACGTTACGACTAAACACTGTTCATAACCACTAGTCTTATCAGGACACGTTACGACTAAACACTGTTCATACCCACTAGTCTTATCAGTACACGTTATGACTAAACACTGTTCATAACCACTAGTCTTATCAGGACACGTTACGACTAAACACTGGTCATACCCACTAGTCTTATCAGGACACGTTATGACTAAACACTGTTCATAACCACTAGTCTTATCAGGACACGTTACGACTAAACACTGTTCATACCCACTAGTCTTATCAGGACACGTTATGACTAAACACTGTTCATAACCACTAGTCTTATCAGGTCACATGATGACTAAACACTGTTCATAACCACTACACCACCTTTACTGTGTACTGTTAAAGCTGATTTTTCCGTGATGTGTTTTTTGCGGTAACTTTGGTGCCGACAATTTTTAGCGAAAATAAAACGCCCCGAAATTTTCGGTAGAACCGATTCTGTATACATGTCGTACTAGTACCGTAAAATCCCGCCAGAGCGCCCCTATCTCCTTTTTTTTTTTTTTTTTTTACCGCGCGAAATCTGCCACTGCACGGGCAACAGAACATAATGAGACTCGTGAAAAAAACCTATCTCCTCGACGCTTCAGGTGGGGAGGGGCGGATGGGCGAGTCCTACTTGCCGCATTCAGTGCTACAGTCAGTTTCAAAAAGATTAGCAATCCTGGCGATCGCCCGGGGAGTTTGCCGTCTTACCGTATGCGCGCTCGAGAGCTGGCTGGAAAAACTCACTGTGAACTCGAAGAAATAATCCGCGCGAAAGCATGAAAAATGACAACTTACTCACGTCGGTACATGTACCGGTACGTCTGGTTTACAACAAACGAGTTCTTCCTCGTATCGATATGGACAGAGAGGCTCAGGACATGTCGAAAGTGTGGTAAATGTTGACGAGCGGGATGGGTCCCAATTCGTTTCGTGCCCAATTTCTTTGAGCTGCGATGCAATTTACTCTCACGATGTGACGAAAACGACATCGACACAGACTCATTCCCAAGGCCATGACTTGGCAAAGCTATCCGTGTGACTTCGACGACATTTTGAGAAAAGCAGACGCCTGTGAAAGCTGTTGACTCCTACATTCAAATAAATTGGCGATCTTGAAATACTAAAATAATTCTCAAAGAGAAATCGATCGATCGATGTGCCGTTGTATTCAACAACACGTAGCTACAGCGCAATGACTTCCGTGTTCACTCGCACCGTTTCAGTGTTGTGGGTGTGTTCACAAGTGTCTTTGTTCGGCAGGAAACGCGAGCTCCAACAACAACAAATCGTTTGGCGCAGCCACCCAGTCCTTCTTTGGCTTGTACTTTTTGTACCAGCGTGACCACCAAAACAATGAAAAAAGTTTGACTTGAAAATAGTTTGGGATTTGAATCACAACTTCATGGTCAGCAGACAGCATTCATAACCACAAGGCCAAAAAGGAAAGGATAAATCGTGGGTTTTGATAAAAAATCGATACTGACATCCAGGGCAAATTGTAAACCATGGGAAAAAGCCGGAAACCTGGCCGAAATTCTAACTCCTTAACGGCTGGTCCAATTGTTCCGAAACCTTCACAGAACAATTTGCCGTGTCCTAACAAGCCATTCTATGTACTTTGTTGTCCAAATTTCCCTTATCTTCATACTTTTTAAGACCAAAACCTGATTGCTAATCTTTTTGAAATGGACTATACATGAAAACATACTCACCCTACGAAAACAGTTCGTGCATCTCGTACACCGATCAAAGGTCATCAAGAGCCAGGAGTCGTAGGGCGCGCTCACACTGCGACCAAAACCAGCGTCCATGCGGCCATGCGGCCAAGTTGCATGGCAACGGCATGAACTTGACCAAAACGTCGCGGCCACGTTTCAAATCGTGACCGCGACCCCCGGAGGGGGGTGTCACGACTTGGCGGCAACATGATCGTAGACGTGAAGCGTATTTGTGTACAACCTGGCCTGAAGTATGTTCAATTTCTCAAATTCCGGTGTGTTGATTCATGAACATTTTGGACGATGTCGATTTTGTTTTTGTAGTTGCTTCGTTGTGATCGGGTCAGTGACCAATTTCTACATTTACTCGTTCAATACGATGGCAGCTTGGTCTGGCTTTTCGGTTTCGGAAATTATCTTTCTCTACTTTTCTGCGATGATGGAATGCCATACCTCAAGACATTTCAGTTATAGTCCATCAGCCAAGAACTCAGAAGTCGTCAAATTCAAGCACCCTGTTGCACTTAGAAATCGAATACTTGATTTTGGCTAGGCCTTGACGGATTATGCTAATATTTTCGTGAAATTATGCTTTTCGCATTGCTGAAAAAATTCCCGAATTATGCTTTTTTTATGCTAAAAGTTATCATATTATGCCGCATTATGCTCACACATGCTGCTAATGTACATGATGGTTCTGTGCAAAATAACAGGGTAGTTTTTTGTAGAGGGCGTTGCGTATCGGAGCGTCAGCTTCGATATAACAGTGTATTGCCTATGACGTCAGTCATTTCCTTCAACCCAGACCGGTCTTCAAAGTGCAAAAAATAAAATCCAGGCCCAACCCAGGATCGTCGCCTTTTTTATTTCCGCTCAACCCTAGATAGGTTTGCTTTTCAGCGTTTTGTTTGTCAGGTTTTACAGTAGTTACCGTTTACCGTAGTATTTACTATAGCGATGGAGGACAGTACTGCGCTCGTTTCTGCCGTTTCCTCGGCCGTGCAGGGTTTGTTGGGCCCGCTGGAGGATCGGCTCAGCGCCCTTGAGGCTTCATTGCAGAGTCGCCGAACTGGTCCAGCGGACAGTTCGGCACCGACTCCGGGCACTTCAGCCAGCATGTCTGGTGAAGCTGACCCTACAGACTCTTCGAGTGGGCAGGTCCCATCGAACGAGGTTGTGGACGAGCCGAAGCATGCTTCGGTGACTCCCGAGATTGCAGAATTCCTGGAGAAGGAATTTAGAGTTGGTCTGAAGACCAAGGACCGGAAGGAGATCCTGGACAGGTTTCCCCGGCCAAACACCGAGGTAGCTGTGACCCCGAAAATGGATTCGGAGCTGTTGGAGTTCCCTGGGCTGGCGTCCTCGTACAAAAAAGGCGTGGACACCAACTTGTTCTCAGTCCAGAGTAGCGTTTTGGACTGCCTGGGCCCGCTAACCGAACTGTGGATGGAGGCGCAGCGGGCCCTCGATGCTGATTCGGGTCTTGACCCGCAAGCTGTGCTGGAGCTGATACCAGTTGCACTGCGCCTTTTGGGCAACGCACACCATAAGCTGTCCTCGCAGCGCCGGCATGCTTTTCTGGAGCACCTGGATAAGGGTTTGACTGGCATGGCGGATGCCCCTTATTTGCAGGCTGGCACAGCTCTATTTGGGCCAGAGTTTTTGGCCCAAATGCAGGGCAAGGCTGACTCCCAGAAAGCTCTGGCTGATGTGTTGCGTCGCTACCGTGATGCCCGTGGCGGCACTAAGCCTCGCTCCCACTCAGCTAGTACCTCAGCCGCAACGGGTGGTGGTCAGTTTTTTCGGCGTTCCGGGACTGGCAAGTACGGCGGCAGCTCCCGGTATCAGCCCTACCGCAGCCCGTACACCAACACCCCCGCAGGCCGCAGTCCGTATCGCGGCGGCAGCTCTCACTCCTCTCCGATGTCCCGAGGCGGAGCCTCCAGCCAGTCCAGCTCCCACCGGAAGGGCAGTCGGTCCTAGAGACCTTCCTCCCGTCAGCTCTACGGGAAGTGGTGCCCGACGAGATCCTCCGCGCCGGGTCTTCATTGCCCTCCTGGCGGATGCCATTCGTGATATCGGCAGAGGAGATGGCCATCCCACACGGGGGTCGGCTTCGCCATTTTTACGAACGGTGGACGCTGCTGTCGTCCGATCCATGGGTCCTACAGTCAGTTCGTGGGGTCCACCTCGACCTCCTGAGTGTTCCAGTTCAGTCTACATGGCCTCATCCACGCCCATTGACAGCGGCGGAGACTGCGGCTGTGTCAGAGGAAGTCAGTTCCTTGGTGCAGAAGGAGGCGATTTACGCCCTCCCCAGCAACACTCCACCCGGTTGGGTCAGCTCCATCTTCGTGGTTCCGAAGGCTGGTGGGAAGCTGCGCCCGGTGGTCGACTTGCGGGCCCTGAACGGATATGTCCCGTATCATCATTTCAAGATGGAGGGCATCGGCACCCTCCGGGACTTGCTCCAGCCTGGGGACTTCCTCACCCGGCTGGATCTGAAGGATGCGTACCTCACAGTGGCGATGAGGGCCAGCGATCGTCGTTTCCTTCGTTTCAGCTGGCAGGGAGTTCTGTACGAGTTCCGGTCACTCCCATTCGGCCTGTCGTCAGCCCCCTGGACATTCACCAAACTCCTCCATCCGGTGGTGGCGACACTTCGCCAATTCGGAATCCGAGTGATCATCTATTTGGACGATCTGCTCATCCTGGCGCATTCGTTGCTGGCCGCTCGGGAAGCTACGGCGTCGGTTGTGCACCTGCTCTGCAGCCTCGGCTTTGTAATCAACTTCAGCAAGTCGTGCCTGGTCCCTTCTCAGGAGACCACGTTTCTGGGTTTCCTGGTGTGTTCGACGACCATGACAATCCAGATCTCACAGGATCGCCGGGACAAGCTTCTGCGGACCTGCCGCCAGCTACTTCAGGCGGATCGCACAACTGTCCGCGAGGTTGCCAGCGTGGTGGGCATGATGCAGTCAGCGTGGCCGGGAGTGTTGCCAGCACCTCTCCATCTCCGGGGCTTGCAAGACTTGAAGAATTCCGCTCGCCACGCAGCATTGGCATGGGAGTCTGCTCTGATTCTGAACTCTGCGTCCAAGGAGGATCTCCGCTGGTGGGTTCGTTTTCTGGACTCTTGGAACGGTCGTCCCGTGAAGGTCGAGTGTCCAGTGCTGACGATTGCCTCGGATGCCTCGTCCCAAGGGGGCGGCGGAGGTTGGGGCGCAGTCTGCGGGACGCAGACAACGGGTGGTCGTTGGTCTGCCGCGGAATCTCGGCTCCACATCAATGCTCTGGAGCTCCTGGCCGGGACATTTGCTGTCCAGTGCTTTGCCCGTCATGTCCAGAAGGGTCTTGTGTTGCTTCAGATGGACAATCAGTGTGCTGTCGCGTACGTGAACCGCATGGGCGGCACTCGGAGCCAGCGGTTGAATTCGCTAGCCGCGGAACTGTGGCACTGGTGCCTGGCCCGCCAAATCACCATTCGTGCCGAGTACATTCCCGGGGCCCTCAATGTCATAGCCGATTTCTGGTCTCGCAATCACAGTTCCTCAGAGTGGCATCTGCTTCCTCAGGCGTTTGCCTTGCTGAAGACCCGATATGGAGGTTGCCACGTGGATCTCTTTGCCACTCGGATCAACACGCAGCTACCGGACTTTGTTTCGTGGCATCCGGACCCACAGGCGGTGGCGACGGATGCGTTCTCTCAGCCGTGGCAGGAGATGGACGGGTATGCGTTTCCTCCCTTCTGCCTGATCGGCAAGGTCCTACGGCAGGTTCAGACTCAAGCTGTCCCTCGGTTGCTCCTGGTCACCCCATTGTGGCGCGGGGCCTCGTGGTTCCCAATGCTGCTCCAGATGGTGTCGGAGGCGCCGACGTTGCTACCACACGACAGGTCCCTGTTGACGGATCCTCTCGGCAATCCTCACCCATTGATGGCCAATGCCCGCCTCCGCTTGGTCGCGTGGCCCATCTCCGGCATTCCTACTCTATGTCAGGGTTTTCTGCAGCAGTGTCCGACCTCCTCGTTGCCTCCTGGCGGACCAACACCTCCCGTCACTATGACAGCGCTTGGGCACTGTGGAGTCGCTGGTGTGCGCAGCGGTCGATCGATCCGCTTCGCCCCGCACTGACTCGTGTTCTCGAGTTCTTGTCCGACCAGTTCCAGGACGGTCGCGCGTTCCGCACTATTTCTGGCTACCGGTCCGCTCTCTCTACCATGCTCCCTCCCGTCGACGGCACATCAGTTGGCTCTCACCCTACTGTGGTTCGGCTGCTCCGTGGTGCGTACAATCTCCGCCCGCCTGCGCCTCGCTACACCTTCACATGGGATGTTCAGCTGGTGTTGGATTTCTTGCGGTCATGGCCAGATGTGTCCGTTCTCAGTGACAAGCAGCTTACTCTGCGCCTTGCTATGCTCCTGGCGCTTTCTGGTGCATATCGTTGTGGCGAGCTTTGTCTGCTCTCAAGTGTCTTTTCCCAGCTCTCCGATGGCTCTGTCCGGCTCCCGCTCCTTGGTACTCGGAAGACCCAGCGTGTTGGTGAGCCTCTGCAGACGGTCCAGGTGTGCCCGTTCTCTGTTGCTGCCCTGTGTCCTGTTCAGCATCTGCTTGAGTATGGCCGTCGATCTGCCGTGTGGCGGCTAGATGGCTCTGGTCCTTTGCTGCTCTCGTTTCGTAAGCCGCATAAGCCTGTCTCTTCTCCCACCGTTGCCCGTTGGTTGAAGGAGGTGCTTGGTCTCGCTGGCATTGATACTGCTCAGTTCTCGGCTCATTCTTCCCGTGGCGCGGCCACATCTGCTGCTGCCCGTGCCGGTGTCTCTACTGCTGTTATCTTGGCAGCTGCTGATTGGAAGCGTGCTACTACATTTCGCCGCTTCTACTGCCGTGATGTCACCCCGCCGGCTGACTGCTTTAGTGCTGCGGTTCTGCGCTCTGCTACCGCTTAAGTGTGTCCTGCGGCTTTGCACCTGGCGCTGCCCATGCTGGCATGGCTTTTTCTTTCGTTGTGTGCGTCTCTGACCTCTGCATTGTGTGATCAGGTCTGTTGACTACATGCTTTGTTGACACGTCTTGTTCTTTATTTATACTTCGGCGTGCTTTCGGTGCGCCTTTCAGTTTCGCCTTCCTTCTCGTTGGACTTGGCCTATTTCCATACTTGGCATGGTTTCTTTTGCATCTCCCGTCCCTACCGGGTTTGCTATTATCCACTTTATGTCCTCGGTTTAGTGTTTGGGCTATGGCTTGCTATTTGCTTTCATATATCATGGCTCTGATAATATTGTCCCGCTTCACTCCGGTGTGGCGCATGGTCACCTTTGCTCCTCATTGGTGGTCTGGATTTATAGTGCTGGGGTTTGTTCAGCGCTTTTAACAATACACTGTTATATCGAAGCTGACGCTCCGATACGCAATTGCCCATTTCGCTAGCAATGGTACATTGCGACGGGAAGTGGGAGTTGTGTGAGGAGCGGAAGCGAGATATAACAGTGTCCCACCCGGCCCTTCCCTTTCTCTTGTCATAAATTAATGATCATAGGGTTTCGCTTCAATAACAGGCGACGATCCTGGGTTGGGCCTGGATTTTATTTTTTGCACTTTGAAGACCGGTCTGGGTTGAAGGAAATGACTGACGTCATAGGCAATACACTGTTATATCTCGCTTCCGCTCCTCACACAACTCCCACTTCCCGTCGCAATGTACCATTGCTAGCGAAATGGGCAATTGTACTGCAGTAGCCAAAGTTCAACGGGGTCAACGCACCGTCCGACCTAGCTACGAGCGTCACCGATTGTAGTGGACTGGACATAATTATTATCAAGGGAGTCGTAAACCTCCGACTTCCTGGTGCATCTACTTGTACTAAGTCTTGTACTTGTAGAACATGTACAACTGTATGGAATTTGATGCGAAAAGGCGGATTATTCCAATTTTAGCGATTCGGATGCAATTAGCCTCGAATTATGCGATTATTCGAATTTGGTAGGAATTATGCGAAAAATTATGCCAGCATAATCCGTCAAGGCCTAATTTTGGCCTCAATGGGGAGTTTAGGTACCCTGTACACCGAATCCGCAAATAAAAAGAGTACACGACTTGCACGCTCTGCAGGGGGAAGCCGACAAAGTGACCATTTTTGGCATTTCATCGACAGCCATTGTTGTGGCCTAAACCCAATCTCCAATCAGTGCCATGCGGGTTTCAGGAATGAACTTTCAGATTTTTGTGAATTACGGGAAAAATCTTGCAAATCGAGAAGATTTGCAGTGTAAACCATTGCAGTTTCCGTATTACACGTGTGCCTGGATTCAAATTACAATAAAATTGTTGTTCGCCTACTTGTAGAGTGTTGTTCCATTACGCATCTCTTTCACTGTTCTATTTAATTGAGCATCCGAATACATACCTTCAGGAAGATTACAAGGAGCTAGTATTGAACATCATCCACCTTCGGGTTTCCGAAGTATGCACCCCGAGTCATGTCAAGCAGGTTTGAAGCGTAGTTTTTACTGTTTGGCAAAAGCGATCTACGCTTCCACCCTGAATGGAATCACCTCGGGAAGGTCCTGATCCCTGGAAAAATAAGGAACGTGGAGAGCTAAAAGTAAGGAATCTGCGGCGATGGATGTTATGTACATCGAGTGAATGCCCTGCAGTTCCGCTCTTCTCCATTACGACCAACTAGCAAACGCCATGGCTCTGGATGCTGACAGCAAACAGTTGAAATAAAGGCAAGGCTGTTTTGAGCATGTTGTAACCAGGTCACGAGTAGTACAGTTACAGTTGTACTACTATCTACCACACTCGAGATCATCCAAAGAATAAAGCGATTGAATTCAAAATCCAAAAAATTGTTGGGGATCGTCTGAAGCATATTCAAGCGAGGTACAGTCGGGCTTGATGACTGATCAAAGCCCTCGGGCTGGTCCCTTGGGCTTTGATCAGCCATCAATCCCTCTGTACCTCGCTTGATTATCTACTTGATACCATTGTAGTTGCAAACAAGTAACTACAACAATTGCAGTACAATAGTCATGTAGTTTTTTGAATGAGTTATTTGAAAATGGTGAGCATCTTCATCTTCTTCCCGGTGCGCATGTACACATATTATTTGAATCTGTACGTGCTCCAAGCCAACTCACCTCTGCTCAAATCGACGGCGATTTATTTCGCGATTTTAGGTCGATCGCCACGGAAAACCACACCACACGTTGACAAAACTCCACGTTTTTCACTGAAGACGCATTGGATGTCCTAATAAAACGGATGGAAAACCTCGTAATGGCTGACGAAGAAGAAGAAATTTGTCGAACTTCCACGGCGCACTGCAAAAGGAGTGCAAGAGTTTCGCCAGGGAAAGTAGGCAGGTCGGATTCAGTGATGCTTTTGCTGTCGATTGATGTCAGTTCCAGGTGTTCGATTTGTAAGTGCAACAGGGGACTCACTTTGGCACCACTGGCTGATGGACTATTACATATCATCGGAAAATACAGTTCTCATCTCGGCAACAGACGAAAAAAACCACTACCGGAATTTCCACTGCACTGGCACTTGCTCTGACCACGAGGTCAGGAAAGCGAAAGCGCTTGGATGTCAGCGGCAGTCCCTCAAGAGTCCAAACCTACCTGATTGTATGAATTATTTTCGTCGACTTCAAGAATACGAGCCACGAGGCACTTCCTCCAACATGCAACATGCGAAAAATTACATCCAAAACGGGCCACAACTTTATTAAGAAACGCACGGACTCTTTTGGATACGAACTGCAATTCGTAAAGTTTGTGTGACAACTTCACGTCTACGCGTGTACGAGGCCTAGTACAGTGTGAGCACGACTCCCACGTTTCTGCGTTTTGCTGACGCATGGACGCGTGCTCATGGTCGCAGTGTGAGCGCGCCCGTACAGACCCGACAAAACGCAGAGTTTGTGCGATCCCTGGTCAAGAGGGTGGGCACTATTTCCAACGGGGTTGAGCACGCGTCTGCAGTACAGTACGGCATCACAGACTGCGACAGAGTCATACGAGGATACAATCAATCACGTCCCTGACAAGAAGTCAGGGAGGGGCGGATGGGAGAGACGGGGCGCTCTGGCGGGATTTTACGGTACACTTACCTGGAAACGCGTTTTAGCGAAAAATTCCCTCCACCGAACCGCCAATTTTGGCGAATTCCGAAAATATTGCACACCGAAAATTTCTGCTTTAACAGTATACAGTACTACATACATTTCTCATGAATAGTTGTAATTGCCAATCTATGGTTTTGCTTTGTTATCCGCTTAATTTTCGTAACTCAAGAGCTGGTGTGAGAAAGGTGCAAGGTCTACTGGAGTGTGCGGATCTGTGTATTATTTTCACCTTGATGTATTGCTGTACGGCTGTTCACAGAACTAATGACGTGTGTAGCATTGTACTTAGAGGTACATGTATGTTGAAGTAGATGTACATGTATGATAGCATGATATAGACTATGCATGCATACATACACTGTAGTCTATATCAGGTGTACTGTACAGGAATAACATGATCAGACAACGACGGATAAACAGTCTCAGTATCATCACTCATACTACCCACCAAACAGAAAAATACGAAAATAGAAAGAAGTGAGGGGAACCACTACCCTAAGAGCAAATGAGAATATAAAGATGGCAGCATAGTCCTGTCATGTGTAGAATGGGTAGGAAAGTTGAGGTGAAGGCACACAATACATTGACTGCATTCTCCAGCAGCAGGCATACAAATGCATATGCACACACACGTGCACGCGCACACACACACACACACACATGCACACACACACACCCACCCACACACACACACACACACACACTCACACAAACACACACACGCGCACACACACACACCTTGGACCTTGGACCTTGGACGCCCATCGCGTAGCGATGATGGCTCAGACGCGGCAGTGGGGGGCGTGCCTCCTCAGGTCCCCAATGCGGCCAAAGGGACGGCCACATGCGCAACGGAACTCTTTCGGTCCGGGTGGAGGAGGCTGCTGACGACACAACCGCTTCCAGGTTGGGCGATCCTGGGCTTGATGGAACCATTCTCCCTCTCCGATCTGTGCCGCAGCTAGATCAGTGACAACAACGTCACGCCATCGCTTCTTCGGACCGTGGCGGGGGCGAGTGGCATATAACTCGCCAAATACCATCTGCTGCGGAGTGCGGTGTTCCTCCATACGGGCAATGTGCCCCAGCCAGCGCAGACGATGCTGTCGGAGCAAATCGGAGATGTCAAGAGACATGCCAAATCGCCTGCCCAATTCTGCCGATGTGAGCCTGTCCTCCCACTGCTGGATCCGCGATACACCGAGGATAGACCGAATACAGGAGCGATGGAAGACGGTCAGCCGATGGACGTGGGTAGCCTTCACAGCCCATGTCTCTGCACCGTAGAACAGAGTGCTCAGGACAAAAGCGCGATATACCGTGCACTTAATGTCGATGGATAAACCCCGGCACCGGAAAATCGGGGTCAGGAGGCAACCAAACACACGAGATGCCTTGGCCAAGCGGGAGGTGATCTCCACGTCCAGTGACCCATCGCAACTCACCACACTACCGAGGTAAGTAAAGCCGGAGACCATCTCCACAACTCCACCATCATCGAGGACGACATCAGGTTGTAGGTCCCCCGGGCCGACTGCTATGGCCTTTGTCTTGGCGATGCTGACAGTGAGACCCCACTGAGAGGCACAGGCGATGAACTCGTTTGCCAGGGTCTCCAGATGTTCTCTTGATGTGGTGTATACAGCGGCATCATCAGCGAACTGGGACTCGGTAACTTGGTACGTGTTCAGTCGCGCCTTGGTTGTTCGATCCCCAACAAGCTTCCGGCCAGGGCGTGAGCGCAGGGACACGCCGGGAACAGAAGAGCGGGAACGCCAAGACGACATTACGGCAGCAAAATACAGATTGAATAGGGT